ATAACACTCCATACTTCAGAGTTCCCTTGATATACCTCAGAATTTTGATAGAAGCTTGGTAATGGGACCACTTAGGTTTACTCATGAATCAACTAACCATTCCAACAACATAGCAGATATCAAGTCTGATATTACACAGATACCTCAGAGAACCAATCAACTTTTTGAAGGTTGTAACATCCACATCCTCACCATCAGAATCAGAATCCAGTTTCTGATTTGTATCTGCAAGTGTGATAGCAGCCTTACAGTTCTGCAGCTTAAATCTCTTCAGAAGCTTAAGTTCATACTTCAGTTGATGTAAAATGATACCCTTCTCAGAGTATATAAACTTTATCCCTAGAAAATATGTTATTTTCCCGAGATCAGTCATTTCAAACTCATTCACAACACCTTCTTGAACTTAGTTATCTCTTATTCATAACTCCCTGTTAGCAGTATGCCATCAACATAGAAACACACCAGAATCATATTGACTTCAGAAGTATGCTAAACATAAACACCGTACTCCATCTCACATTTCTAAAACCCTGCTCCTTGAAAAATGAATCAATCTTCAGATTCCAGGCTCTGGGCGCTTGCTTCAATCCATACAAAGCTTTATGTAATATGTACACCATCCATTCCTGATTCTTTTTAACAAATCCAAGAGGTTGTGACACGTATACCTCTTCTTGTAATGGATCAATCAGAAATGCAGATTTCACATCTAATGCATCAGAGGACAATTCCTGTTAGCAGCTATTGCAATCACTAGTCTGATTGTTTCATATCTCGCTATAGGTACAAACACTTCAGAATAATCCAACCCAGGTTTTTGCAGAAATCCTCTTGCTACTGACCTCGCTTTGTGTTTTCTAATTGATCCATCTGACTTTAGCTTCTGCTTGAAAGTCGATCTGCTGCTGATGGCTTTCTTGTCCTTTGGAAGTTCTGTCAGCTTCCAAGTCTTGTTCCTCTCTATGGCATCAAGTTTTTCTTTCATTTCCTTCAGCCAAACTTTCTGCTCAAGAGCATCTTCTGTGCTTACGGGTTTAGAGTCTACTAACATGGCACACTGAATAACTTCTCCTTCAAAATCTACTTCAGTGTCTTGTAGCATGTCAAACTCTGCAAATCTTCTCAAAATGTTTCTGATTCTCTATGGCCTTTGACCTCGTTCAGAATCTCCTTCAGATGCTTGAACTCCAGATGTTCTATCTTTAGAAGCTTCTCCTTCAGAAGCTCTTACTTCAGAAGTTTGACCTCCTCCAGAATCTTTACCACCTTCAGAGTCTGGAATATTCCCAGAATTTGAATCATAATCATCTTCACCTTCTGAGTCTCCTTCAGAGTCAGAATCACTATCAGAGTCTACTTCAGCTTCAGAATCTTCTCCAGTTTATGACTCATCTTCAGAAACTTTTAATTATGAACTTTCTTCAGAAGTTCTCACATCAGAGTTCGATTGAGACTTGTTTCAATCCCAAGTTTCTGATTCCTTTACAATAACGTCTCTGCTGAATTCAACTTTATTAGTTTTTGGACACTAGAGCTTGTACGCACCTATATTGTGGTATCCCACTAGTAACATTAATTTGCTTCTATCATCCATCTTCTGTCTTCTGCCTTCTAGAACATGTTTGTAACATACAGAACCAAACACCTTCAGATGACTACCACTTTGCTTATCTCTAGTCCACTTCTGAATAGGAACTATTTCCTTCAGCTTCTTCGTTGGACATCTATTGAGCATATATGCTGCGGTGACAGCAGCTTCTCCCATAAGGTATGAGGAAACTTCTTCTTCTTCAGCATGCTTCTCGTCATATCAAGCAAAGTACGATTTCTTCTCTCAGCATGAGCATTGTGTTTAAGAGTATAAGGAGCAGTAACCTCATGCTCAATTCCATTCTCCTCATAGAAATTTCTGAATTCAGTGGAGTTATACTCACCTCCATCATTGGTTCTGAGAATCTTCAAAGTTTGACCACTCGTATTCTCAGCCTTCATTCTGGAGTTCTTAAATTCAGCAAACACCTTGTGTTTGAAATTTATAAGGGATACCCATGTAATTCTTGTGAATTCATCAACAAATTATACGAAGTATTTATTCCCTCTAATCAATGCTATTGGAAATGAACCGCACACATCATAATGCACTACTCCCAAGGCATGCGCTCTTGGAGCTACTTCTGACGCAAATGACAATTTTGGTTACTTTCCTTCCACGAACACTTTGCATGACTTCTCATGCTTCTTAATTATAGGAATTCCATGTACCATCTTCTTCGAATTCAGATGCCCTAATCTTCTGAAATTGAGATGATCAAATCTTCTGTGCCACAACTCACTTTCCTTCAAAACACTTGTTGCACTAAGACATTCAGAGTCTGCAGTTCTTATATTCATCTTGAATATTCTATCCTTTCCCTGTTCTGACTCCTTAACCAGCTTCTGATTACAGTCATACATCTTCAAAAGATTGTCCTTCATGGTAACTAAAAAACCTTTCTCAATTAGTTGCCCTACACTCATCAGATTGCTTTTCATGCCAGGTACATACCACACTTTCTGAATCAATGTTGTTTTCCCATTGTTCAGAACGACTATGACATTTCCCATACCTTCAGCGTTGAGGTGTTTATCATCAGCACATCTGATCTTTGTCATCTTACCAGAGTCAAAGTCAACCATCCATTTTTTATTTCCAGTAAGATGATTTGAGCAGTCAGTGTCCATATACCAACAGTCTGTCAAATCTGTATCATCAGATTCATAAGCCATCAGTATCACACATTTATCATTAGAACTTCTGTCTATATTTGCTTCTTCTGACTTCCTTTCCTCGTTTAACTAATAATCAGTAGCAAAATGGTCAAACTTCTTACAACAGTAACACTGGATCTTCTTCTTGTCATACCTCTCTTTTCCTTTATGAGCATTCTTCTGTCTATCAGAAGTTGAAGTTTCTGACTTCTAAACACCATCAAATCTTCTCTTGGCTTCTGACCAAGACGTTTTCTAATGCTTCTTACTAGAAACTGTTTTCAGAGCTTGCTGCTCTACTTCCCTTTCAGAAGTTCTCTCAGTCAGACACAACTCTTGTGCCTCTAGACTATTTTGCAACTCTTCAATTCTCATGGTGCTCAGATCTTTTGAATATTCTATTGCTACCAGAATGTAATCAAATTGAGGGATAAGTGATCTCAATACTTTCTCAATGATTACTTGTTCAGAAAGAGTTTTTCCACAAGCTTTCATCTCATTATTGATCAGAATCACTCTGGAGATGTACTTAGATACCTTCTCATTATTCTTCATATTAAGATTCTCATAATGCTTTCGTAGGGACCGGAGCTTCACCTTCTTCACTGATGCGTCGCCACCATAACACCTGACTAGTGTATCCCATACAGCTTTCGTCGTCATTGAATCTGCGATTTTTTCAAAGACATTTGCATCCACACACTGATGGATGTAGAAAAATGTTTTCTGATATTTCTTCCTCGTATCTTTCTGCAAGTTCTTTTGTTCCTCTGTTGCATTTACTGCTACTGGAACGTAACCTTCAGTGACAAGATCAAGCACATCTTGAGCACCAAACATTACACGTATCTGAATCATCCAAGGAGTCCAATTTTTTCCATCAAACATTGGAAGCTTGGTGCTCAGACCACCATATTCGTTCATCTTCAACCTTGTGCAATCACTCAGATCTCACCAAACATAGTGTTTCCCAATCCCTCAAATCAGAAAATGTGATTCTGTTACAATTATGTTAAAGATTCAACACAAATTCAAGAAACGAAATCAACCATACAATGCCTCACCATTTCACTCGTGTTTCCCCGTGGATCCGAACCGGAGCTCTGATATCAATTGTTAGTGCGCAAAGTTAAAAGATAAGAAATGAATGAGAGAATATGTTTATATTCTACAAATGACGACTACAAAGTTGTAAGAATTACAAAATGACATCTACCACTAGTCTATGTATGCACAGAAAACTAGAGCCACATACGCAACATACTAAAGTACTAAATTACCCTCTAACAAAGCTTAGTCACTAAGTTTTGTAAAATATAAATTATTTCTAACAGAGCCCTCATTCATCAGTCCAAGCTTTGCAATTTGATTATGATGTGCCTCCAGTTAACTAGAGGAACAATGATTTGTCCTCCATGAGCCCACTGCATGATGAATAATTCGATTTGTCATGAAAACTACCTTCCACAGTCCATAAACACGAAAAACCTAATATAGCTTACCTGAAAACAAAATGATGTATGCTTTAGCTTACCTAACGATAAGACTTTCCAAACTTCTGAGCATAAGTGGCTGAGCATAAGTGGTTGTAGCTAGTAAGATTAGACATGTACCTCTGCATGCTTTCGAATTTAGAGTGTACAACGGATGGTAGAATTATTGATGATTCATCAATATCACCATAACTATTAAGTAATTGGTAACCCATCTCTGACAGCACATGCATGAAACATCTTTCAAACCGTTTGAAGAATAAATCGAAGTTGCTACAAATTAGTTACGACTTTAGCTACATATTAGCTATAAACTTTTATGGATTCAAATATAATGTTGATCTTAATTTCGTAATATGTCACATTAGCATCTTTGCCATGTTGATACTGATACGTGCAAACTCAATTATCAAAAAATCTCGCAAGGCAATTTCATGGCAACTTATTTACGAGGACCAAAAACTTATTTAATTTTAAAAAAATTCAGAAGTAAAATAAAATTAGTTTATATAACAAGGATAAAATAGTATTAACACTTTCTTTAAATGAAAAAAAAAATCCTGTAAAAATTATTTTACTATCAGGATTTAGAGGAGTATTTTCTTCAGGTTAGTTGCTTATGTAGTTCACGTTGACCTCACGATTTCGCTGTTCTACTCCATCTTTCCGTTTCTTACAAACTCACAACCATGAATTTCCTTTGATTAACCAATCACAACTTCAAAAAGAAAATTGTATCATCTCAATCTCAACATAACTATGGGTTCCATAGAGAACGATTCATCACTTATGGAACAATCTCTTCTTCTGGTTCCTCTTTCTCTCTAACTTATTTAACTACATTTTTCTTCAATATTTTCCCACTAATGTCAATACCTAAATGATTTACAAAGTGGTATATTATTGCTTGTGATGAAAAATTGGTTATTTTGTATCTGAAGGATGAAGAGAGCAGCCAATACACAGGAGATGGTTCTGTTGACTTTAAAGGAAGGCCTGTTCTCAAGCTCACTACTGGAAATTGGAAAGCTTGCCCATTTATACTAGGTAAATTCTTTTTTTTTCTTTTCTTGTCGTTTATCTAGGAAAGATCTCGAGATTAAGGAATTGGATAGAAACATGGTCTTGGATAAAACAATATTATGGCGGAAATTGACGCATGTAGCCAATCCCTCTGAATGTACTGGTGTGTGTAACCTTTTTGTGTAATATGAATTACAGACAATGAATGTTGCGAATGTTTGGCATACTATGGCATTGGATCAAATCTTGTTACCTATCACACGCGCAAACTACATCAAGGAAATGTCTCTGCTGCAAGAAATGTCACTACATGGCAAGGCACTTGTTATCTTACACCACTCATTGGAGCCGTTCTAGCTGATTCTTACTGGGGGAGATACTGGACAATTGCTATTTTTTCTGCAATTTATTTCATTGTAATTACATATTAATACGGCTTTATTCTTATAGTGTAATGATTCTCGACACACATCTCATTTTTTCTATATGCTTGAATTTCCTGACACCAATATAAAAAAACATGCTTGCATTATATCAAGGTTTCATATTTGCATAAGATTTATGGGCCAAGTCAAGAAATATGGACTCAAGAAAAGCAATATGATCCAAATTTCTCCCCTCCATGATTGCATTGATTTGATTCTACTATATATTGAAGTTTTTAACATTGAATTAAGGTGTTCTTTTGATTGAATATAATTCCTAATAAATGTGTTCTTTTTGTTTGAATTTGTATCAGCATGTTGGTATTCTTTGTTGTCATTTTTTTCTGTGCATCCTTTGTTTCTTTATACTTTGTTGTTTAAATATTTTCCCTTACATGTTTCAATCTATAACATAGTTGTTTCATGCAGGAAATGTGTACATTGACTCTTTCTGCATCGTTTCCAGCATTGAAGCCTGCATAGTGTTTTGGTTCGGTGTGCCCTCCAGCTACTCCGGCATAATAGGCTATCTTCTTCTTCGGTCTCTACCTGATCGCACTTGGAACTGGCGGTATTAAATCATGTGTGTCATCTTTTGGGGCAGATCAGTTTGATGATACTGATCCCCAAGAAAGGATTAAGAAAGGATCCTTTTTCAACTGGTTTTACTTTTCTATCAACATAGGCGCCTTTGTATCAATCACTTTTATTGTATGGACTCAAGAAAATGCAGGCTGGGGTATTGGATTTGGCATTCCTGCTTTATTTATGGGATTAGCTATAGGAAGCTTCTTTTTAGGCACACCCACCCCTCTACAGATTTCAAAAACCAGGGGAAGCCCTATTACAAGAATGTTCCAAGTTGTTGTTGCATCTTTTCGGAAGCGGCGACTGGTTCTCCCTGAGGATAGTAGTCTCCTGTACGAGACACCGGACAAGAGATCTGCAATTCTTGGAAGTAGGAAACTGGAACATAGCGACGAGCTAAGGTATTGTTTAATTAACTTTGAATTTAGTATTAATCTGTCCAAGTAATAGTTGGTCCACTTATGATGTTCTTTAATGTCTATTGTCTTTATGAAGGTGTCTCGACAGAGCAGCTATAGTGTCTGATGCTGAGAGGGAAAGCGGTGACAATTCTAACTCGTGGAGAGTTTGCACTGCGACACAGGTGGAGGAATTGAAAATTTTGATCAGAATGTTTCCAATTTGGGCTGCTGGAATTGTTTTTAGTTCTGTTTATGCCCAGCTGTCCACAATGTTTGCTGAACAAGGAACTGTAATGGACACAAGTATTGGTTCCTTCAAAATTCCTCCAGCTTCGCTCTCATGTTTTGATGTGATAAGTGTTATTTTCTGGGTTCCCGTCTACACAAAATTGTAGTTCCGATTGCAAGGAAATTCACCGGCAAAGAACGAGGCTTTTCAGAGCTGCAAAGAATGGGAATTGGCCTTTTTATTTCAATCTTTAGCATGTTTGCAGCGGCTTTTGTGGAGATTAAGCGTCTGCAGCTTGCACGAGAGCTTGACCTTGTTGATAAACCTGTCGTTGTACCAATTAGTGTATTATGGCAAATACCTCAATATTTCTTATTTGGAGCAGCAGAAGTATTCACAAATGTGGGGCAACTTGAGTTTTTCTATGACCAATCTCCGGATGCAATGCGGAGTTTATGCACTGCTTTCTCACTTTTAACAACTTCATTTGGGAATTACTTGAGCTCTTTCATTCTTACTATTGTAACTTACTTCACTACACAAGGCGGAAAACCCAGATGGATTCCGGATAACTTGAACAAAGGTCATCTTGATTATTTTTTCTAGCTTCTAGCTGGACTTAGTTTCTTAAATATGTTGGTGTATATAGTTTCAGCCAAAAATTACAAGAAGAAAAACGCTTCTTAGGAATTTTTAGGCATTGATTTGGACTAGAGTGTAGAGTCACGTTTTGATGTTTTCCTCTGTTGTTGTTTTAATTGTTCCGCGTAAATTCATGTTATGATATGTCTTAAAATCTTAAATAAGAAAAAAGAAGGCGAAATTACATATTTCGGTCCTGATATATTTTTAGACTTGTTTTAAGATCTGTTTATTAATGAGTTGTGTTTTGAAGTTAGTTATGGATCTGTCGAATTTTAGCAATTATAAATATAGCATTTTTTTAATGCATCTTATATACTATTTGTCGCTATGCGAAAAATATAGAGTCACCACTGCACTTTATTTATGTCAAAGGAAAAGAAAAATATCGATACAACTACTAAAATGTAAAGAAGATAGTTGTCGCAACCAAGAGCGGATTCAACCATCGTTTATGCAAGTGGAATGTATTAACACTCCTCACATATGTTGTACTTAACGAGAACTGTTTTGATTGTTATTTGTCTGGATGAGTGTTATTATCTAAAAATTACTTGCGATTGGTTTTTAATTAATGTGCTCTCCAAGATTTCGAAATCCTGTGCCTATGTATTCCCATAGTGCAATGAAAAAATCAAAGCTTCGTAGTCCGTGGTAGGAAATAAGTATTTGTTGGTTGTGTTTTGGTGGACAGTGTTAACATTCGTGTTCTAGTAGTTAAACATTGTTTTATACTCCTGCGTGGGAGGTTTAAGCGTTGTTTGTATTGCGATAGAATGGAAATAACATGTCATTTTTAAAAGATTTTCGAATGCCCTAAAGCGAAAAATGAATTTGATGGGTTGTGATAGATTTTAACTTTGAAAAGATAGTCTTGATTTAAATTGCACTAAAGTCTATGAACGGAGGCAAATACTTTGAATAACTGGGATGTACGTCTCGTATTCTAAGATACTCAGAACAAGGATATGAGTAATCTCTCTCATTCTTCTCTGTTGCTTAAGGTGTTAGAAATATCTGTAGAGTTGAATGGATCCAGGTCTGAATCGTGAATGGTGTCACTTTCCTTAAAAGTATTTCAAACTCTCTCAAATATGTCTTAGAGTTGGAACCCATGAATACCCAGGATAATTTAGCCTTATATCGAATTTGCGCAATACCGACAAAAACTCGATTTGTAGCGAAGAGAGTTTGGTATTTGCTCAAGAGGATATTCAGTTTGTGATGTGATTTTTGAATTCCATAGCGAATTCCCTCTTCTTCTTATTTCTGTTCCATTTTTATATTGCTCATAATTTTGTTTATGGGCTTGGATCTGTTGCTTTGTTTCTTCCGATTTTTGAGTTTGATTCGCAGGATTTTGTGGAAGTTTTGATTTGTTACAAACTCGTGGCTTACATGTTGCTACATTCACGGCTATGAACTTGTTGTGATTCTTCTGCTTTTTCTATTTTAATGGTTCGGAAACAACTGGATTTTCGGATGAGTTTATGGGGATTTGGTCGCTGCTGCAACATTGTTGCCTTGATTGTTTGCGATTTTCTTGCTTGGAAAATTGTTGCTGGAACTTGTTGGTTTCCAGGAAATGAGTTTGATCTGTTTTAGTTCAAACTTCGTTTGGAAACTTGTTTGATTCGTTGGCATTCAAAACTCTTGGGAAAATTGTGTTAAGGCCGTGTTTGGCAAACCATTTTTCCAAAAACGCTTTTCCAAAAGTGCTTATTCTAAAAATCACTTTTCTGGAAAATCACTTTTAAAATTCACTCTCTCTCTCTCCCTCTCTCTCTCTCTCGGCTTAGAACAGATACTGTCGGATTTACCGAGGTTGAGAATAAGTCGGGAACTGGCTTCGACTTCGTCGTTGCCCTCCCGACACCCGATGATGAGAATTTTTTGAGGGTGTCGGAGTCCAAAAAAAACTGACTTTAACTAACCGTTAAAACTGCGGCTCTGTTTGTTGGTTTTCTTGCAGGTTCAGAAAAAATAAAGTCGAAACTCGAAGAATCGGGAGTCGGAGAAATTTTTAGGACCAATTAAGACTGTTTAGGAATATTTTAGAAAAATGTAATTTAGAAATTGTAAACTTATTTATTTTTCATTTTAAGATATATTTTATTATTTTTTTGGATATTTGTAATAAAAAATATTATAAATAAAATTTTACTTTTATGGATATTGCACCAAAATACTAATAAATTGAAATTTAACTTTATTAATATTGCAACAAAAATTTAACCTTATTATTTGAATATTGCAACAAAAATAAAATAAAACTTCTATTTCCTATTAAATTATTTCTTGATTAATTTTCCAATTTAATCCGTCCGACTCGGATTCTCCGCTTAAATCCATACAAACCAATTCAACCGATTCAATTTAGCTTATTAAACCCCTTCGATTGAACCTCCTGATAAATCCTTTGCTAAAGCTTAAACAGATAAATCCACTTAATGAAACTTGTCTGATTGCCACAACGTCTTACCATCAACCACTGAACTCAACAGACTACACAAACTTGTTAGTGATTATTTAAATGCAATGCAACAATGAAATGAAACGACTAATCTAAGGAAAAATTTTGGGGTATTACAACTAACATGTTATTTATAAGAAAATTAAGACACTAATCTAATGGGCTTTTTAACAATTACCCATTACAAGATAACTTAGGGTACAAGCTAACTTAAACAATTGGGTTTACAAGCAATGCCCAACTTAACATGCTAACAAACCTAGCAATATTGACTAATGCATGTTAGAACAAACTTCGACTACAACACGCATTACTCACGAACAAACTTCGACCATTCTAGAGTTTGATCCAATATCTCACAAATCTCTATCTTGGATCTAACTCTATAACATCAAGAAACTAGCTTTCTTCATGCAGCTTTATCAACTGCATACAATGGAAAAACTTGCAACTGGGCAACGTCTTGGTAATCATATCAGCAACATTATGATTTGTCGAAACCTTTAGCACTTGGACTTCTCCACGCTCGATTACCCCTCTGATGAAATGCAGCCTCACATTAATGTGCTTGGTTCGCTCATGATAGGCTGAATTCTTCAACAGGTGTATTGCACTTTAACTATCACATTTAACAGTGATAACTCGACCTTGATGTTTCAACTCCTTTGCAAAACCTTCAAGCCATAACGCTTCCTTCACAACTTCAGTTAAGGTGATATATTCCGCTTCAGTGGTTGATAAGGCAACGACCTTCTGATGTTGCTTTCCAACTGATTGTTGTCCCAAACATAGTGAACACATATCTAGAAATAGATTTTCTGGAATCCATAAACCTGCATAATCAGAGTTGACATATCCTTCAATTGCTGCTTTAATATCTTCACCCAAGGCTCCACCATAAATTAGGACTCTATTCAGAGACTCATTTATGTACCTTAGAATCCACTTCAATGCTTGCCACTGAGTCTTTCCTGGATTATCCATGTACCTGCTTACAAGACTTACTGCATATGTTATGTCGGGTCTAGTACAAACCATAACATACATCAAAGAACCCACTATATTAGCATATGGAATTATATTCATATAAGCTCTTTTCGAGAATCTTCCGTAGGTATGCCTCTTGAGATAAGCATAATTTCGATTGCTT